TTATCTCGAGGCAGAATTAAAATAACAATGTTTAGACGATGACAATAACTGATTTGAATAAAAGAAAGTTCCAATAACCTGGATCCTTTATAAAGTTTCTCATTCGGTGCCATTCCCAAAAGTGACACAAAGAAAGCCCTGTGAAGATTAAACTAAACTAATAACACTGTTCTAAAAGAGAGACTCAGAAATGAACCAAACCAGGACTGAACCAGGTCTAAACCAGGACTAAACCAGGACTAAACCAGGAAAAAGGAAGTACAAAATCGTGGAGCAAAACTAAATCAGGTGCAAAACAGGACTAAACCAGGACTAAATCAGGATTAAACCAGGTCTAAATCAGGACTAAATCAGGACTAAACCAGGTCTAAATCAGGACTAAACCAGGACTAAACTAGGACTAAACCAGGATAAAGGAAATACAAAAAGACAAAGCAGAACTAAACCAAGTCTAAACCAGGATTAAAAAAAAAAAAGTACAAAAACACAAACTAAAACTAGACTAAACCAGGATTTACAAGGTACAAATACAAGGCCAAGAAGAAGGCCTAAACCAGGACCAAACCAGGACTAAACGAGGACTAAATCAGGACTAAACCAGGTCTGAACCAGGACTGAACCAGGACTAAACCAGGAAAAAGGAAGTACAAAATCATGGAGCAAAACTAAATCAGGCGCAAAATAGGACTAAATGAAGATTTACAAGGTACAAATACATGGCCAAGAAGAAGGTCTAAACCAGGTCTAAACCAGGTCTAAACCAGGTCTAAACCAGGACTAAACCAGGACTAAACGAGGAATAAACCAGGACTAAACCAGGTCTAAACCAGGACTAAATCAGGACAAAACCAGGATAAAGGAAATACAAAAAGACAGAGCAGAACTAAAGCAGGTCTAAACCAGGATATTTTTTATTTTTTTTAAAGTACAAAAACACAAACTAGAACTATACTAAACCAGGATTTACAAGGTACAAATACATGGCCAAAAAGAAGGCCTAAACCAGGCCTAAACCAGGACTAAACCAGGACCAAACCAGGACTAAACCAGGACTGAATCAGGACTAAACCAGGACTGAACCAAGTCTAAACCAGGATAAAGGAAGTAAAAAAAAGACAGAGCAGACCTTAAGAAGGTCTAAACCAAGTCTAAACCAGGATAAAAAAATAATAATGATAAAAAAAAGTACAAAAACACAAACTAGAACTAGACTAAACCAGGATTTACAAAGTACAAATACATGGCCTAGAAGCAGACCTAAACTAAAACTAAACCTGGATTAAAAAAAAAAAAAAAGTACAAAAACACAGAGTAGAAGTAGGTCAAAACCAGGTCTAAATCAGGTCTCTGTAAAGTTGGTAAAAAGAAAGATGAGTTCAGTCTAAACCAGAACTAACCCAGGATTTAAAAAGACCAAACCAGGATTTAGAGTGTTCCTTTTAACTTTGGAATCACTAATCTTTGTTCTCTATTCCATCCCCGGTCTGAGGAAAGATACACACAGATTGAAATGAAGGCGAGAGCAGGGCCGCGGCTGCAGCAGAGAGGATAATCATATTCTCACATCTGCACACGAGGTTTAAGACCATGAGACAATCCACAAGAAGATCAAACTATTCTAATCCAATATTAATCCGGATGTAAAAGAGAGATTCAACAATGAGCTAAACCAGATCTTAACCAGATCTAAATCAGTTGGAAAGCAGGTCAAAACCAGGACCAGGACTGACACTAAAGCTAAAGACTAGAACAAGGTTCACCCAGATCTAAACCTGGACTAAATCAGGTCTATTATTGAAGAAATGGACTAAAACAACGTTTACCATCTAAAACCAGGACTAACAAGGTCTTTCCAGATCTAAACCAGGACTAAATCAAGACTATTACTGAAGAAATGGACTAAAACAAGGTCAACCGAGAACTAAGCCAGGGAATCTAAATCCAGGATGAATCAAAATCTAAACCAGGACTAAATAAAGCTGATCAAGATCTAAACCAGGATTAAATAAGGACTACCAAAGTTTAAACCAGGACAAGTTCTACTCACATTTAAACCAGGACTAACAAGGTCTTTCCAGATCTAAACCTGGACCAAATCAGGTCTATTACTGAAGAAATGGTTTAAAACAAGATCTACCAAGAACTAAGCCAGGACTGAACTAGATGATCCAGATCTAAACCAGGATTAAACAAGGTCTACTCACATCTAAACTAGGACTAACCAAGGTTTTTCCAGATCTAAACCTGGACTAAATCAGATCTATTACTGAAGCAGTGGACTAAAACAAGGTCTACCCAGATCTAAACCAGGACTAAACGAGATCTATCCAGATCTAAACCAGGACTAAACGAGATCTATCCAGATCTAAACCAGGACTAAACAAGGTCTACCAAGATGAAAACCATGACTAAACAAGTTCTACTCACATCTAAACCAGGACTAACAAGGTCTTTCCAGATCTAAACCTGGACTAAATCAGGACTATTACTGAAGAAATGGACTAAAACAAGGTCTAAGCCACAAAATCTAAATCCAAGAAGAATCAAAAATGTAACCAGGACTAAATAAAGCTGATCAAGATCTAAACCAAGTTTAAACAAGGTCTACACAGATTTAAACCAGGACTAAATGGGATCGACGAAGATCTAAACCAGGACCAAACAAGGTCTACTGAGATCTAAACCCGGACTAAAATGATTACATTATTATTTATTATTATTATTATTACAAAAGTGGTGGACTAAATCAAGATCTCACACACGGCATGTCTGGATTTCAAATTCTGTAAACATTATTCATCAAAAAGAGCGTCTGAACACTAAAGATTAAGACTAGGATTCAATCAGGACTAAAATCCTTGGAACGAACTAAACCAGGACTTACACAGATGCATTTCACGAAACAAGATCAAAACCAGGAGCAGTAAACTGTGATGTTAAGATCTTTTGGTTAATCAATAAATAATAATAATAATATAACTGTAATAGAATCATAATAATCACCCTTTAGAGGCAAAATTAAGTCATTTCAGTCTATAGTTCAGTGATGTAACTGACTTGACTCTCTTAAACTGTAAATTGCTTTAATTCCTGTTTCAAAGTCTGGGCCAAATTTTAAATTGTACACACAGACACAGACAGACAACACCATCTAAATGAAATCTAAATATAAGAGAAAAGAAGCAGGGCAGGGCTGTGTGCTGTGGAGGAGTGCTGAAAATCTGTGTAAAGTGTTTGTGAGCAGGGAGAGCAGCCGCCTCAGCAGGAGCAGACTTAATGAGGCTCCACACACAGAGCCAGAGCTGCACACACTAACCAGCCTCGCCCTTTGTTCTACGTCAAAGAAGTGTGCCTTTATTTATGAATGTGCCTCTAATTACAGCCGAGGTGGTGTAGCGGACAGGAGGGAGATGATGACAGAAGACACCAATGATCTGCACAGGAACAATGGAGCAAAAGACTGTGTTTGAGGCTTTGTGATCCAACTCTGAGCTCAGGAAGAGAACAGTTTCAGCTGAGTTTCTGCAGCAGTGCTTTTAATTTAGGGTTGGACAAAATGATGAAAAAAAAGAATCCTAATTTTTCCCTCACTGATCAATGACAATTTTTGGTGTTATTTTGTGTTATTAAAACAAATAAAATGAACACAATACTTACAAACTGGCCTGATTTAAAGCCAGAGAAGATGTGTCCAAAACATTTACTGGAACCACAGACTGTATCTCTGCACCTCTGCTTCCAAACAAGAAGAGAGCACGGGCGAGATTCAGCTCCAGTTCACTTTCTATTGAAAAATATAGTCCCTTTGTAACTGCTGCAGTCAGGCTCGTCATTCTGACCTTAAAATGTTTGTTTTAACCCACTCTACATGATCATGGGATCTTTATTTCACTATTTGTCAAATCAATATTAAAACTAGTACATAAACTAGATACTCATTGGGTCAGGTATCATTACTATGAGCATGCTGAAATATAAGAAATAACAGTGTAAAACAATCATTATTCTATGGAGATGCAGGAGTCAAGTGTTTTTCGTATTCACCTTATTGGGCCCTGCCCACTTCTTGTGCTGGCACTCTGGGTTAAATGAGGATCCCATTCATGCCAATGGAGAATTTGGGAAAAGTTTAGCATCTTAAATATGACATAAGGTCATTTGTGTAAAATGTTCAGTCTTTCTGTGACCAACAATCAAACTGCACTGATTCTCTGGAGGCTTTAAAACATCTGTATTGTCTTGTATTGAACTGTTGTCAAGATCAGCAGCCCCATAGAAAACAATCCAACCCCAGAGATGACGACATGTGAACAGCAACAAACAGGACTATCACGAACAAGGTGAACAAAACCACTGCAACACATCTGGATGTTGATAAAAAGTAGTAGTAGTAAGAGTACTGCACTCCACACAGACGGACCCACACCGTCTGGGTATCCTCCAGAACCTTGTTGTGGTGCTTAAACCCTCCAGGACCTTGCTGCTGTGAGTGTGGTGCTTAGACCCTCCAGGGCCTTGTTGCTGTGAGTGTGCTGCTTAAACTAGGGTTAGGCGATATGGAGCAAAAAATATATCTCAATATATTTTTGCTATATCTCAATATACAATATACTGTAAATGTCGATATCTGTACAGGAAAAATAACCCCCCAAAACTCCTGCAAAAACAAATCTACCAAATTCCACAAGGTCTTTTTTTATTGAAGTGCAAAGAGGCAGGCAGTTCATGTAGGAACAAAGTGCTTCCCATATTACATTAATAATAATTTAACTGTAAAATAAAAGAAATAATACATATTGCCTTCTTTTCATACCTAAATAAAACAACACAAGTTACACATTATTCATTAAAATCTTCTACATAAATAAACTTTACATCACTAAACTTTATAAACTTTATACTTTATAACTTTATAACCCTCCAGGACCTTGTTGTTGTGAGTGTGGTGCTTAGACCCTCCAGGACCTTGTTGCTGTGAGTGTGGTGCTTGATGCTGTTACCTGTGTGAGGAGGATAGAATCGAAGAGCAGCTTGGTCTCCGCCTGGTCTTTGGTGATGTCTGCGTTCGCGTTCATCCCGAAGATTTCAGGCGACGGGTTCAGAGGGAGAGCCTTTGTGTACTCGATGTAACTGTTGTACTGAAGAGAGAAACAAAAGACAAAAGAATGAGGGATGCACATTTCAACATAACAACAAGTGGCGTAATTACAATCAGTGCAGCAGCAGCCCTGACGTTTATTGTAATGACTATGCAAATGAGCCTCATGAATAAAACATGACTCAGCAGGAAGCGAGCGCCGCGTAAAACACAGATAAACTGTGGGAGATGTCGAGTGAGTTAACAAATAAATCTTTTTTTTTTTGGTGGAGGAACCCTGCTGTGAGCTGCTATCACGTTAACGACTTTTTAAAGGTACAGCGCCTGCGGTAATGAGTTCTAAATAAACAGCATCAGAAGAGTTTGACAAAAGGAGTGGATAGACTGAGGATGAGGAGGAGACAGTGATTAGGAGGAAGAGCAGAGAGGAGAGCCCGTCGGAGCGCACATAACAAGCATGCATCACGCTGACAGCAGGGACAGCAGGCCACTCATACCACGAGCTTTTATTGATGGAAATTGGGACCAAATATGTGAAATGAATGATGGTGAAAAGAGATAGAGTGGACTGGACACGTTTAGATGGATCTGAAGAGGCTCAGGCTGCTCTGTCACAGTTGTAGCTCATTTATCAAAATGACTGTAGGCTGCGGGCTATAAAGGACAATAATGGTATTAGCTAATGACTATTGAACATTGTAGAATTCCTCTAGAACTGGGACAGGCAAACATGGACTCCAGAGTTCTTTGTGCTTTTCTGTGTAGTGTCGCTGCATTGAGTCACTGTGCAGTACTGAGATAATCAGAGCTTCATGTGGTGGGGCTAATCCAATTCATCACTTCATCATGTGTCAATGATTTCTTCAAGTTTGTGATACTTTGCAGTGACTTTACACTGGGTCTGTCTGAGCTAAAAAAGTTTTTAAAAAGTTTGAAATCTCAAGAAAAAATACAAAATGGATTTAAACAGGTTCAGTTCTGTTTAGGAGTTGATAACCACATCTACAGGGGCGGACTGGCAATCTGTGCCTTCTGGAAAAGTCCAAAATGGCCTTCCGGTCTACTGGCCATCAGCCATACTAACAGCAGAGGGCACTAATAGGATAATTTGCCCCTTTGTCAAGCATAAATTACATAAGCCTAAAAGACGACAAACAACACGTGTCAAAGATGTGGAACAGAAAACATAAGGAGAAAGACGGATGGGAAAAAGTTAAAGACAAAATAGCTAAGTCACTTTGAAATGAAGTGGTTTAGGTGTTTTTAATAATAAATAATCAGAAGTAGTTCATCTTTGTGTGTTTTCTTCAATTAATTCATTGATTTACTGAAATGACCCCCCATGGTCAGCCTATTTGTGGGGGAAAAGTCCAGGGCCATCCCTGCCATACAGGGACATGTTTAAGAGGACGAAATCAGCTCACCTGTTGTAGTTCTGAGAAATCGGTTCTTTATGTTCAGACTGTGTTAATATAAAGCTTAAAGCTTAACTTGAGTAACAGAGCTTCAGACAGAGCAGTGTCTACAGTTAGCCTCACGTGCCCCGGAAATGTTGATGACAACAGCTGTTTATCCATAAGCTAAGTGTACACTTTTAATTGAAAATAGTTGTGTATTTATGTTTAAGTGTCTGATAACCGTAAAATAAAAATGTGAAGAAGATGTGTGGTTGTTGTGGACTCACGTCGCCCTCTGCTGGTGCGTAGTACAGGCCGCTGGGGTCAAACTTGTACTGCGGGTCGTGGACTATCTCAGGGGTGTAGAAGATGGACAGGATGGTCCTGAGCGTGCGGCGGTCCCAGTCGTCTGTGACCCTCCCTCCATAGTTACACTCTCCAGTCAAGTATCTCAGAGCGTCAAATGGAACCTCCTACACCCAATCACAGAGGAAAAGGGGACATGAGGCTATAACAGAGAAACACTTCACAGGGCAGTGCACAGGACCAAGGCTCCAAATGAATAATGCACAATACACTTTGGAACTGTCTGAACTCAATTTATAACCGTGGATAACTGAGCAATAGCAATTTCAGATGAGTTGTTTTTTTTGGTTTTTTTTTTTAGTTAAATGGTGATGTATAGTTTATTATTAGGTTTGTATAGTTTATTAATCCATGTTGGGATCTATTTTTATGTTTTTTAGAAAGTAAAATTTTATCAAAAATGGCGATTGATCTATATGAGTATCAAAATGTTCTTATGGCCCAGCTCTATGTATGTTGTTTAAATACAGAGGTAGATACATCGTTTATTCATTTCCCAGAAGAGAAATTCACTATTAGAATAAGAATGATGCCTGCAGGTTTAATGGATTATAATAATAATACTATATTTTATTTATCAGGCACCTTACTAGACACTCAAGGTGGCCTTGCATCAATAAACCAATAGAAAAGAATGAGGATAAAAGGGACACTGAAGCGTCCCTGTGGGTCAGGTGAGTGTTGGGTTTGTGTTGTTGGGAGCAGATGTTGCAGTGTGTTCTCCTCTGGACATGTTGTGGAGCATGTGACCACAGAGATGATCCAGATGGTGAAACATGTCCCTGCAGCCAGAACAGAGCTGCAGGGGAATACACAGGCCATGTCTGTGACTCCTGCACCACTTAAGTATTCAGTCAGAGATTGTGCATTAGCATAAAGCTAAGGAGACACACATGTATTATACTTTACTGCAGTGTGAGTGTGTCAGTGTGTTCATGCCATTCACTTTACACAACACGAGTTAGAATGTTGCAACATCATCAAAAACAGACCTGGAGTTGTAATTTGTTTCATTCACACATGAATGAGTAATTTATTATTAGTCTGTCTAATCTCCATCTCTAAAGCTCCAAATGCTCTGTTCCACCTTGTGATGTCATGAAACAGTAGTTTCCAAGTTAACAGCTTCTTTCACATTTAGGTCAGTAAAGATGGGGCAATTCCGGAGCTAAAATCAATCAAATGATTCTAGTAATGGTGTAAAGAGTTTAAAAAACACACACAAACTCACAATGTGGAATGAAGTGTTTTCTGTTTAAGAGAAAACTCTGCTTAAATCTGCAGGGTTAATGTTAAACATGTGCATTATTTTATATAGTGCTGTCATACGATAAAAAAAAAATTGAGAGATTAATTAATTATGATCTGTAATTAATTAATCTAATTAATCTCTTTTTAATCTCACCTAAAAATAGCTGAGAAAAGCTTCAATCTGAGGTATTTTCATTTAAATTCATTATTACATTATTGTGGCAGATCAAAAGACTGATATAAAACAAAAAAAAGTGACTTTAGTAATTTATTGTTTAACAAACTTTAACAGATGCAGTCACTTACATTCCACAGTATCATCATTATTATTACTATTACTAATCTGCAGTGTTGGGAAGGTGACTTTTCAAATGTAATCCCCTACAGATTACAGATTACATATCCCAAAATGTAGTTTGTAATTTAATCCATTTAATTACTTAAAGTGAGTAACGTAATTTGAATACTTTGGATTACTTGACTTGTCATGCTTTTTAAAACTACATGAATGTAGCAGCCGCATCCTGCAAATGTTGTTCTTGTTTGTTCTCTTCAAATTGGCTGTTGAGCCCAAGTCTCCATGAATAAGAAACTGTTTGCTGTAAAGTAGCAAAGACGAGGAAATCTGAACATAATAACTTTTGTCTACTTAAAGACAATAAAAAGTCCAGTCTTTCCTTAACCATATTAAAAATATTATTGATAGAAAAATGCTTTATATATGAGATCACTGGTTTTAGTCCTGCTTTAGTCCTACTTTAGTCCTACTTTAGTCCTACTTTAGTCCTGGAATGGGTTAGTCCTGGTGTTAGTTCTGGTTTAGTCCTGGTTTAGTCCTGGTTTAGACCTGGTTTAGTCCTGGTTTAGTCCTGGTTTAGACCTGGTTTTAGTTCTGGTTTTAGTTCTGGTTTTAGTTCTGGTTTAGTCCTGGTTTAGTCCTGGTTTAGACCTGGTTTAGTCCTGGTTTAGTCCTGGACTGGGTTAGTCCCGGTTTTAGTCTTGGTGTTAGTTCTGGTTTAGAGGCGCACAGGAGGAAGTGCGGTGTCCGCGCAGTAACTACGGAAGGAAACGTGGTCCGCGCGTTCTCAGGTTAATGACGATGATGAAGGTGTTTGTGTGTATTTGTGTGTGTTTGTGTTTGTGTGTGTTTGTGTGTGTTTGTGTGTGTGTTTGTGTGTGTTTGTGTGTGTTTGTGTTTGTGTGTGTGTGTGTTTGTGTGTGTGTCCCCTCATGTGGCAGGTCACTATAGGACAGTAGTGCAGACATCATGAGTCTATGCAGGTTGTTTTCACCAGTGACATTTAAGTTGTAGGCGATTTAATATTTGTTATTTTCTTTTATATTTCACGTCGGGAGAAGAATTTCCAAGACACAAATGTGTTTTTACCTGTGCACTGCTGCTGCTCTGTTCTACTGGCTCTTCCACCTCGTCCATTGTGCGACTGACGCCGCCAACGTTAACATGACATTTACATCGCTCTTACTGCACGCGTTTTGTGTGGGTTTCCGGCAATGAGTGGAATTACCGAAATTAAAAAAATTATAAATGTGTTTTTTTTTTGTGTGTGTGTTGTTGTCCCAACAACACATAAAAACGGGTTTTATAATAAAGCAACTCGCATACAGAAACAGTAAAGTTAGAGATTAAAAATGAGATTAACGCGATTAAAAAACATAACGAGCTAAATATGACTGTAAATAACTAATCGCAATTAACGCGATAATTTGACACCGCTAATTTTATATTTATTCACCTGTCCCTGAGTCTGGACTCAAACCTCTTTACACTGGTGAGATGAATGAGCTCAATGTTAAACAGATGATTTTTGTTTTTCTTATTGAGACGTTGGTGACTGACTGAACATTAAATTGACAAAGGAGACATGTTCTGTATTCAAGGCTTCAGACAAATTAGCCCTTCTTCATTTAAAGGCTTTCTCTCCATGCAAAAGTATGGGTTAGGGTTATATGACTTGATATTGTGACTTGATTTGCTTCATTCCTAATGGAGGGCAGTGACAGTGACAGTGACTCAGTGGTTAGAGCAGTGATCTCCTAACCACAAGGTTGGAGGATTGATTCTGGTTCGGACCTTGGCACAACCCATCACGCTCCTTGCCTTGTATAAGTGTAGTGTGTGAATAACGAATGAACAATGACTTTGATAAGACTGTAAAGGCTATGGCAAGTGTAAAGCATTGTCATTATTATTCATAGAGTAAATTGTTATAGGAGTGTTAGTATTTGTGTATTTTTGTGTATTGTCTCCCCCCACCAGGTATAAACATAACACCCAGTGGAACAGGGCCTTCTCCACAGCTGCCCCCTCCCTCTGGAACTCTGTGCCTAAACACATCAGAGACCCATCAATCCACATTCCCCATGTTTAAAAAGGTCCTGAAAGCCATCTCTTTAAAACTTTTCTTTCTTTTGTTTGAGATGTGGATGTGTGTCAGACCTGGTACTGCTCTAAGAACATGTGCAGCTGCTGGACAGAGATGCGCAGGTCCGTCTCGTTGAACTCGTAGGGAATGTTCCAACCCAAAGGTCCAAACTTCCTCCTCTCCTGAGTGAGAGCGTGGAAGAAGCACAGGCCGTACAGCAGCTTCTTAAACACCTCCTGGAACCAAACAGGACAGACATCAGGGACAGAAGAGGAGAGACATGGACAGACTGGAGAGGTGAGGACTGAGATTCTAGTACCTCATTCACAAAGACATTAGGACATGCTTTCAGGTCATGTGACTCTGGTGTATCAGTGAAAAAAATCAGATAAAGTGATAAAAATGTATTTCAATAATAAAGCTACATTCACTAAATGTATAAGAGAGGGGCATACTTCCTTCTTACAGTCATTTCACATTTAGCTGAACAACATTTTTTGAACATGTCAAACTTGAGGCGCAGGTCTGAGTAGCAGGTACCGGTTTGCTGGAGCCGTTGAAGAACTCGGGGTCAGAGATGGGGTCCATGAGGAAAGAGCGGGCAATGTTGGAGCGTAGACCTTTAGGGGCCTCGTTGGTCATCTTCACCCCGTTTTGGAGCACTGCCACTGGGAAGGTGGGTGAGGGGTAACTGGTCAGCCACAGCCGGAAGTCTGGGTGTGTCGTCTCAGGGTTTAGCTCCTGGACAAGAGAAACATGGTCTGACTCCTGCCTTTCAATGAGAGTATCTCCTCCTGCTGATATTTAACAAGATCAACAAGTGATACTTTGCAGCTGATGTCATCCACACTGCCTGGAAGTGTGATGTTACTGTAGGCACTGCTGTGTCTGCAGGTCTTTATAGCCACAAGCTGACCAACAGTTTTTCACATAGTCACTCTCACCTTTTTGTTGAAAACCAAACTCCTAAACAGTGTACACTGTGTCACCATGGTAAGTGCTGAACTTTACACCACAGAGTTACATGTAGAAACCCCCCACACGTGATGTCACCGAAAAGTAAAAAAAAAAAAAAAAAAAAAAAAAGTTAAATAAAGCTGTTGTGTTGTGAGTGACATGAGCACATGTGCCTCACATGGTGTAAAGGTACACAGAGAGGCTTTAAAACATGCAGTAACATTTAGTATGGGTACATCTATAGTTTAGTGCTCTAGTATATATAGTATAGTATTAACAGTACTCGTACTATAGTATTGATACATATATTAGCAGTATTAGTACTGGTACATTCTGACCTCACAGATGTGCTCCAGCGTGCTCATCCACGACGTGGCCAGGTGGCAGTTCTGCAGCACCACCCATGTGCCCTCTTTGATGCCAGTGGAGATCATCTGCATGGCGATGGGACCCTGTCCTTGTCCCAGAGACAGAGACGTGAGCTTGTTCTCTGTGAAACCCTACAGGACACACAT